AAATGCTAACAGTAGCTTTACCAACGTTAAGTTCAAGTTACCAAGTTTAAATAAACCAAAAACACCCAGCAGCAAACAGACCAGCACGGAGGAGAGACTGCTACCACCAAAACAGCTCTCCTAATGTCTGAAAGAAGCTCCTTTATGAAGGGAGAAACGCTCCCGGTGATTTTCTGCATCTGCGGTAGAGACGGAGCAGCGCATCTGACCCCGGAAGTTGTTGTCCGTTGCCGGGAGACGAAGGGGCAACACAGGAAAATAATCTAGTAGTGGACGGACGTTGTTCCGGGTCTTCGGTATTTGGTGGAGATGTTAGTGAAGGCGGAGAAGAGGGCGAACTAGAGGAAAAACAGGCAGATTCCTCCTCTATTTACAAACTCCCGGGGATGCAACAACTGGGCGCGGTGCGTCGACTACCGGATCTGACGTTGACAAATTTTTAGAATCGAGCTGTCGACGTCATCGAGGCGTCGCTACAGCCCTATTGATTAGTCAAATAATACTTCCGCGTAAAAAACAGCTGGTTTACAAAACGTTGATGTATGACACGGATGGAATTGTTTGAACCAAACATTTATTGCTCTTTTTGACGTGTTTTGCGATGGGCCTATCGCACGTCCTGTTATCACAGGCGCTTCACAAAAACAAAAAGTTTAAAAATATAAAAAAGCATTTAGAAAATGTTTAAAAATATATTTAAAATGAGCAAAAATTGACAATTGTGATTAAAAAAATTTTAAGAAAGAGAGAGAGTGAACAGGAAAGAGGGAAATCAGTGGATCCTGAGGAAGGTGGAATAGGTGGGGAGAGCAGAATAAAGAGAGAGAGGTGAAGAAGGTCATACAAAAGCCAGCTTGAACAAGTGAGTCTTCAGCTGCTTTTTGAAGGAGACCACTGAGTCCACTGATCTCAGGCTCAGGGGGAGAGAGGTCCAGAGTCTGGGGGCCACAGCAGCAGATGATCTGTCACCTTTGACAGGGGTGGACCTTTAAAGCGCCCGAGCGCCAATGGCGCTAAATTTTCTCGTCGGGCAGTAAATACATGATGACTTACCGCCCGGGTGGCGCCCAAGCCTTATTTGTCATTTACACACCGGCTTTCACCTACATCATAGCCCCGCCCTGTAGGAAGCTGCCGTTTTCGTTTTGCGCGCGTGAACCTGCGTGCCTGTAGCCACGTACTGCACTTGTACGATTCGTGCACGTACTGCATGATTCTAGTTATAGTCACGTGAACTATAAGTTCACTATTAAAGACGAAGTGGAACCACGCTAGAAACACACAAGCACGCAGGAAGATGGCGCCGCCACAGGGATGGGATTTCTTGATGAAATCTCCGGCAAAAGGTGAGGAGAAGCGAGACAGTTCAACACGGTATGAAGCAGAGAAGCGTGTGCGTAGGTGGAATGATTCTTGGAGGTTTAAAGAAGACGGGAGGCGCAGAGGATGGCCGTGTTCGAGTTGAGCAATGCCTCGCCTGGAAAACAGACGAGAGCAGATGGAAGCAGCAGGGGGAGTGGCTGAAAGCCGGCGTTTACGCCGGGGACACACCGGCCGCAGAAGCGCCGAGAAGCGAATCGCTCACGAAATTCGGCCGCTGCTCAGTTCGGATCAGGCACGCCCCAGTCGAGGCGTGCCTCGGCTCAGCTGTAGTTTTTCCTCCATTTCCTCTGCCTTTTCTCAGCTCTTTTCCTGTGTGTGTGTTTGTGAGTGAGTGAGTGAGTGAGAGAGAGAGAATCTTGGATTTCCCTACATGTGTAGCTCGGGGGTGACGATGGATGAAGATATCGCGTTAGCATTCACACTTGTTTAATTTTCAGTTTCAATTCTGGTGCCTGTTAGCAGCTGAAATGCATCCTCACGTACTTGTGGATGTCATATATTGTATATGAAAACATGACTGTAATAATAAGTAAAGGTTAGCAGCTGTAGCTTCAGTGTGCTCATAGTAAACGTGACAAAAGAAAACAAAACACATTTCTCTTTATGGCCTATATAGTTGTCATCATCAACGTAACATGATTTACAGAATACATGTGACCAACTAACATTTCATGTTCTACCACCGGATGTTTGGATCAAAATATGAACCAATCAGATCTTAGATCAGGTGAGAGCCAGGCGTTTCCCGTCATCCTCTAGGTTTTGCAGCCGAGGGAGAGCAACTGCAGCACCTTGCTCCAAAATCTGCGGCCGCCTTGATCTCACGAGGTTATCGTTGCCTACGTATGCATGACGTCAGAGCAAGTCGGCGTCAAGTTGGACACAAATCTAACCAGCATGCACTGCTCGCCGATCACCGCAAAACTGGCTCATCTCGAACACAGCCAATGGCTCGAGTACAGCAAAGCGGCGTTGGTGATGTACTGCGTTGTATGCCGGAAGTATGTGACGACAAAATCGAGTTTTGTTGAGGGAACAAACAAATTCAAACTTGAATACGTTATTATGTTTGTGAATGTGTACAAAATAAAGGTTTATTACAATTAAAACGGTTCAGTTGTTATTTTGACTCGTTTTGGCAGCTGACCAGCGGGGCCGGTAGACTCTTGGCGGGGCCGGTAAATATTCAGAGTTACCGGCCCGGCTGGCCGGTTGGTTTTGAAGTTAACGTCCACCCCTGTTTGACCTTTAGCCTGGTGCTGCACAACCAGTAGGCTTTGATCACTGAACCTCAGGGACCTGCTGGGGGTGTAGGGACTGAGAAGATCACCAATGTAAGATGGTGCTTGTCCATGTAAGGCCCTATAGACCAGAGCCAGGATCTTGAAATGAACCCTGAAGTTGACTGGCAGCCAGTGAAGCTGGAGGAGAAGCGGGGTGATGTGGGTATGTTTGGAGGACTTGGTCAGAAGCCGAGCACAGGCGTTCTGAACCACCTGTAGACGGTTCAGGGAGGTTCTGCTCAGACACGTGAAAAGAGAGTTACAGTAGTCTAAGCGTGAGGAGATGAAGGTGTGGAGAACTGTCTCAAGTTCAGAGCGGGACAGAATGGGACTCAGCTTAGCAACGTTCCTGAGATGGAAGAAGGAAGAGCCAACAAGAGAACTGACATGATAATCCAGGGTGAGAGCTGGGTCAAAGGTCACACAAACAGCTTGTCTGGGGCACAGATGAGGATCTCAGTCTTATCTTCATTCAGCTGAAGAAAGCTCCCACCATCCAGGTTTTGATAGAGTCTAAGCAGGTGTGTAACAGCTGCAGCTTAGACATCTCATGGGGCTTAAAGGAGATGTACAGTTGGATGTCATCTGCATAAAGATGGTAGGAGATTCCTTTGAAGGAGCTCAGGATGTGCTGAAGAGGAAGCAGATAGAGGAGGAAGAGCAGAGGCCCCAGCACAGAACCTTGTGGGACACCATGGGTAAGAGAGGTGGTGGAGGACCTAAACTTGGAGACGGCCACAGAAAAGGAGCGCTCAGAGAGATAAGAGGAGAACCACTCCAGAGCAGATCCTGATAGGCCGACCCAGTCTCTCAGCCTCTCCAGTAGCAGGTGATGGTCAACAGTGTCAAAGGCTGCAGTCAGGTCCAGCAGAACCAGAACAGAACAGTCCCATGCGTCACTGTGGGTCAGAAGGTCATTAGAGACCCTAAGAAGAGCTGTTTCAGTAGAATGAGCTCTACGAAAACCTGACTGGAAGCAATCATAGATGTTATGTTCATCAAGAGCAGCTGTGAGTTGTTTAGCCACAACCTTTTCCAAGATCTTGGAGATGAACGGAAGTTTAGAGATGGGTCTGAAGCTGCTATGGAGAGAGGGGTCAAGACTCGGTTTTTTAAGAAGCGGGTGAATTACAGTGTTCTTAAAGTAAGCAGGGACCTGACCAGAAACCAGAGAAGCATTAATTATAGAGAGCACGCTGGGACCGATGGACAGAAAAGCACTTTTAAACAAAGATGAGGGTAAGATGTGGAGGGGGCATGCAGAGGTCTTCATAGAGTTAACTAGTTTGGTTAACTCAGGCAAAGAAACAGGAGCAAAGCTACAGTGGGGCAAAAACGTATTTAGTCAGCCACCGATTGTGCAAGTTCTCCCACTTAAAATGATGACAGAGGTCAGTAATTTACATCATAGGTACACTTCAACTGTGAGAGACAGAATGTGAAAAAAAATCCATGAATTCACATGGCAGGATTTTTAAAGAATTTATTTGTAAATCAGGGTGGAAAATAAGTATTTGGTCAATAACAAAAATTCAACTCAATACTTTGTAACATAACCTTTGTTGGCAATAACAGAGGTCAAACGATTACTGTAGGTCTTTACCAGGTATGCACACACAGTAGCTGGTATTTTGGCCCATTCCTCCATGCAGATCTTCTCGAGAGCAGTGATGTTTTGGGGCTGTCACCGAGCAACACGGACTTTCAACTCCCTCCACAGATTTTCTATGGAGTTGAGGTCTGGAGACTGGCTAGGCCACTCCAGGACTTTCAAATGCTTCTTACGGAGCCACTCCTTTGTTGCTCGGGCGGTGTGTTTGGGATCATTGTGGTGTTGGAAGACCCAGCCACGTTTCATCTTCAAAGCTCTCACTGATGGAAGGAGGTTTTGGCTCAGAAACTAACGATACATGGCCCCATTCATTCTGTCCTTAACACGGATCAGTCGTCCTGTCCCCTTAGCAGAAAAACAGCCCCAAAGCATGGTGTTCCCACCCCCATGCTTCATGGTGTTCTTGGGATGCAACTCAGTATTCTTCTTCCTCCAAACACGACGAGTTGAGTTTATACCAAAAAGTTCTACTTTGGTTTCATCTGACCACATGACATTCTCCCAATCCTCTGCTGTATCATCCATGTGCTCTCTGGCAAACTTCAGACGGGCCTGGACATGCGCTGGCTTCAGCAGCGGAACACGTCTGGCACTGCAGGATTTGATTCCCTGCCGTTGTATTGTGTTACTGATGGTGACCTTTGTTACTGTGGTCCCAGCTCTCTGCAGGTCATTCACCAGGTCCCCCCGTGTGGTTCTGGGATTCTTGCTCACCGTTCTCATGATCATTTTGACCCCACGGGATGACATATTGCGTGGAGCCCCAGATCGAGGGAGATTATCAGTGGTCTTGTATGGCTTCCATTTTCTGATAATTGCTCCCACAGTTGATTTTTTCACACCAAGCTGCTTGCCTATTGTAGATTCACTCTTCCCAGTCTTGTGCAGGTCTACAATTCTTTTCCTGGTTTTTCCTGGAGTTGGGAGAGGCAGCGATAAGGCTGAAGGAGAGATGCTAGATCTGACCTTATTGACTTTGTCCACAAAGAAAGACAGAAAGTTCTCACAGTCTGCAACAGAGTGGATGGAGGCTGTAGGAGAGGCAGGAGAGACGATGCTGCTGATGGTGTTAAACAGCACCTTGGGGTTCCCTTTGCTCTGGGACACCAGGTTGGAGAAATAGGAAACCCTGGCGTCTCTGACTGCAGAGTTAAAGGATGTCAGAAGATCCTTTAGGTGCAGCGGATGGACGTGGAGATGGGTTTTCTTCCACAAACGCTCAATGTTTCTGCATTGGCGCTTCAGGCTGCGAAGGCTGTCATTAAACCAGGGAGTAGGGTTCACTGCAGGAACTGATCTGGTTCTGACAGGACAGATGTTGTCCAGAATGGAGAGGCAGTGCTCGTTAAACTGAGAAGTTAAGGAATCTGGGTCGTTATCAGAAGAACAGGGTGGATCAAAAGCAGCAGAAAAGTTGATAGCTGTGCTCTCATTAAGAAAACAAGAACTAACCATACGGCGAGCAGGAGGTGGGGACGCAGAAACTGACAAGTTAAAGAGGAGGCTAGCACAGGATAACACTTGTATTTTAATGAAGCAACAGATGTTTTACTTATAAGGCAGTTATGATTTTAAACAATGTCAGCGATCAGCAATTTTTCTCTATCAGTTGCTCTTCTATCAGCTTGAATCAGTCGGCCCATTCTGCTCTGACCGCTAGCATCAACAAGACATTTGGCCCACAGGACTGCCGCATACTGGATGTTTTTCCCTTTTCACACCATTCTTTGTAAACCCTAGAAATGGTTGTGGGTGAAAATCCCAGTAACTGAGCAGATTGTGAAATTCTCAGACTGGCCCGTCTAGCACCAACAACCATGCCACGCTCAGATTAGCTTAAATCACCTTTCTTTCCCATTCTGACCTTCAGTTTGGAGTCCAGGAGATGGTGTTGACCAGGACCACGCCCCTAAATGCAGGGTGGTAGAGACGTATGGAGACGGTCGTTCTGAGACATGAGACTGTGTGTTTTTGGTGAACATTAATGCAGGAGTGTGTAAAACAGCTCATGTTTAATTAAAATTAGATAAAATATTTATTTAACTTGACATAAATTGTAATGCTTGACTGTTGTGCTACAGCCATGGGAGGAACATTTTGGGTCCCAGCCAGATTCTCTGCTTCCCTGCTGCTCTCTCCATCATCATGCTGCTCCTTGCTCTGCCTCTCCACTTGTCTCTCCTTCACTCACCTCCTCCACTTCAGCCTACTTGTCTAATATATTAGCCACATGTTAGACTCCCTTCAATCACCAATAGGAACGTTGGGAATATCACACGTATCACGGTACAGATCACTCAGAGGGAACTGGGTCACGATAAAGAACAATGAGCATCTTCATCTAACGTTACCTCAACATCTTCCTCGGCTTCCTTCCTCTTCTTTTGAAAATGCGAGCAGAAATGAGTCTCGGTGGGAACATGACCCGACATGAAGCTGTACGCTGTTACCGATCTGGAATTACGCATTAACGACAGACCACATTGACTACGTTACTGTTCACATGTAGCAGCGTGCGTTAGCATGAAGCTGGTTTTCACAGGTCTGAACTAAAAATGCCTTCTTCTAACGTAAGGTTCCTTTCTTCCACCTTTTCTCTCCCTGTAGTTTTCTTTAACTCGTGAGAGCAGCGCACCGCACAGAAGCCGGCTCCTTCGCACACGGGGAAAAACGGCAGTACTGGTTTTTCAAAGTAAAATACATTTTAAAGTTTTGTTATATTTAAATTCATTTTAAACTGTGATAATTCATTCTCTTTAGTTTTGTGTCAGTTTAAGGAATAAGGAAGAGCTCCTGAAGAACTGAGGCCTCCTTTGAACCAGAAGGACATGGAGCCCCTCAACATGAAGCAGGAAGAGGAGGAGCAGCTTGATGAGATCAAAACTGATGCCACCAACATTTCATTCTCTGCAGTTTCTCATCAGGTTAAGGAAGAAGGAAGAGAAGTTCTGTTGTCACAGTTTGATCAGAACCAACCTAAAGACGGAGATCTTCCAACCAGCAGCACCACTGACCAGATGAAAGCAGAAAGTGGTAGAGAGGACTGTGGAGGAGCAGAAACTACCAGGAATCCAGATCTAAATCTTTATGAATATGATTCTAACTCTTCAGAGACTGAAGTCAGCAATGATGAAGATGATGACCAGGATGGCAACGATTCTGACTGTCAGCTGAAACTCTTGTCAGATTCTGAGCCAAACACCAAAGATGATAACAAAGACTGGAAGGAGAGCAGGTCTTCTAAATCACATGTTAAGGCTGTCAAATCTTTCAGCTGCCCAGAGTGTGGTGAACAGTTTCTCCATGAGCGGTCTCTCCAGAAACACATGAGAGTGACAAGTCATTCAGGACTGAAGTCTTCAAGCTGTTGTGTTGATAAGAAACGTGTTAGAGTGAAGCAAAATGTAGACTCTAGCAGGAAAGTTCAGACAAAACTAAAATCATTTAGTTGTGACGACTGTGGAAAAAGTTTCAGCTGCATATCATATTTAAACATTCACATTAGAATTCACACTGGACAGAAGCCTTTTGCTTGTGAGCTCTGTGGACAAAGATTTAGTGTAAAGTCCTATTTAAACAAGCACATGAGAATTCACACAGGGCAGAAGCCTTTTGCTTGTGAGCTCTGTGGACAAAGATTTAGTGTAAAGTCAAGTTTAGACAGACACACGAGTGTCCACACAGTACAGAAGCCTTTTGCTTGTGAGCTCTGTGGACAAAGATTTAGTGTAAAGTCATATTTAAACAAACACATGAGAATTCACACAGGACAGAAGCCTTTTGCTTGTGAGCTCTGTGGACAAAGATTTGGTGTAAAGTCAAGTTTAGACGGACACATGAGTGTCCACACAGGACAGAAGCCTTTTGCTTGGGAGCTCTGTGGACAAAGATTTAGTGTAAAGTCAAGTGTAGACAGACACAGGAGTGTCCACACAGGACAGAAGCCTTTTGCTTGTGAGCTCTGTGGACAAAGATTTAGTCAAAAGACACATTTAATCCGTCACATGAAAGTCCACACAGGACAGAAGCCTTTTGCTTGTGAGCTCTGTGGACAAAGATTTACCCAAAAGGGAAATTTAGACACACACATGAGAGTCCATACAGGACAGAAGTCTTTTGCTTGTGAGCTCTGTGGACAAAGATTTAGTTTAAAGTCAAGTTTAGACAGACACACGAGTGTCCACACAGGACAGAAGCCTTTTGCTTGTGAGCTCTGTGGACAAAGATTTAGTGTAAAGTCAAGTTTAGACAGACACACGAGTGTCCACACAGGACAGAAGCCTTTTGCTTGTGAGCTCTGTGGACAAAGATTTAGTCGAAAGACCCGTTTAATCTGTCACATGAGAGTCCACACAGGACAGAAGCCTTTTGCTTGTGAGCTCTGTGGACAAAGATTTACCCAAAAGGGAAATTTAGACACACACATGAGAGTCCATACAGGACAGAAGTCTTTTGCTTGTGAGCTCTGTGGACAAAGATTTAGTTTAAAGTCAAGTTTAGACAGACACACGAGTGTCCACACAGGACAGAAGCCTTTTGCTTGTGAGCTCTGTGGACAAAGATTTAGTGTAAAGTCAAGTTTAGACAGACACACGAGTGTCCACACAGGACAGAAGCCTTTTGCTTGTGAGCTCTGTGGACAAAGATTTAGTCGAAAGACCCGTTTAATCTGTCACATGAGAGTCCACACAGGACAGAAGCCTTTTGCTTGTGAGCTCTGTGGACAAAGATTTACCCAAAAGGGAAATTTAGACAGACACACGAGTGTCCACACAGGACAGAAGCCTTTTGCTTGTGAGCTCTGTGGACAAAGATTTAGTCGAAAGACACATTTAATCTGTCACATGAGAGTCCACACAGGACAGAAGCCTTTTGCTTGTGAGCTCTGTGGACAAAGATTTACCCAAAAGTCAAGTTTAGACACTCACATTAGAGTCCACACAGGACAGAAGCCTTTTGCTTGTGAGCTCTGTGGACAAAGATTTAGTCATAAGACAAGTTTAAACTTTCACATGAGAGTCCACACAGGACAGAATTAATGAACGTAAATAAAATATATATTTTGGGACTTCTAAGGGTGTTGAATAAAATGTGCTACTGATCTGGAAGCTCTTTTAACTAAAATGAAAGGCAGCAGTTTTATTAAATGTTTTGTTTTTGGAGACGAAAAGGTTGAAAATGAAATGTTTGTTTGCCACTAAAGTGTTTTATTAAATCTCTTTGTTCACTATTCAGTTTGTTGTTCGCTGTTTCTGGAGTTTAAACGTAAATGCTGATGTTTTGCAAAGTGAGAAGGCTCGCCATCAAAGTCACCAGGTTAATCCACTCATGTAATTATCTGTCATGCAAATAAACCTGATCAAAAATTAATACCTATATTATCCATATTGTTTGACATCCAAATACAATTGGAAACGCGGATTCACAGTTAGCAAAAGTATAAATCTGGGTTTTCAGGTAAAATAGTGCAAACTTATTTGAAATAACAGAGCATAAGATTTGCTCACCTATTCCAGAGTTCATCTAGCTCCACTGCACGGTGTAGCGGCTCTCCCTCGCACATCTACACAACATTTTACTTTCTGTAATTACAAATCCAAGTTTCACTGTGACATATAGAAAAAGTTCATGTACAGGTTAGAAGGTTTTACTTTGCTGTTTAACGCTAGCAGGGTAAGCATCGGATGGAAAGGTAGCAAAAGCAGGTTAGCTTCATGTGGCGCTCAGCAAACTGGACAAAACCCGCCACTTCCATCGGTCTAGCTGCTTCACTCCCAAACCAAGGAAGATTCATCCACCGGCAATGGTACCAACTAATCCAGCTTACTTTTTCCATTCCTTCTGTTTTTGTAATGTCTGAGGTGCAACCTGAGGTGGAAAGAGTACTACAACTTCCTACTTAAAGGTATAGCAATCGATGTTTCTGAATATCAGGAAAGAACCGCCCTCTCCAGGTTGCGCAACACTCTCCCATCGCCTGTTTACAAGTAGCTGTCGGCCGTAATGTGTAATAAGAGGCTCTTAAAACAGCATGCAGAACGTTAGCTTACCTCTCGAGCAGAAAACCGGCAACAGCGGCGTCTGTGGGGAGCGGACTGGACCGCATTATCCTCTTCCTGATTTCCATGAGAGTGCGGGGGTGCACAAGAGTACGCATGTGCAGGAAGTGAGAACAAACCCAGGGTTGGCTTCACCAGAAATTTACATTTTTGCAGACCAATGGTTGACGTGATCCACCCGGAAGAAAAACATTGATTGCTATACCTTAAAATACGAGTACCAATACTTTGATAATTTTTTACTCAAGTACAAGTAAAAGTACTTGCCTAAATTTTTACTCAAGTAAAAAGTATCGTAAACAAAATGTACTCAAAGTAAAAGATACTTGGTTACATTTCTGTCAGTGTAAGGATGGCTACATCTAAGTAGTGAAAACTCACGCCAGTACACGACACGCTTGTGTGTGCGTGTACACACGCACACACACACACAGTTTGATGGAGGGATTTTTATCCAATCATTGAGAACTGGACGTGCACATTGATTGGACGAGGGTCTTGTAGGATTGTGATTAAAATTATTTATTTTGAGAAAGAAAAAATAATTTTTTTAGACACCATCAGCCTGTGAGGTATCTCAATGTTCTCATGACTAAACTCTAACATGAGACTGTGCTCTAACCCGTCACATAACAAGCTAAATGAAAGTCAGGCATTTCAGATGGACCGTATGACAGCTGCTAACGTTGGCCCTGCCCTACTTTACCTCTACATTACAGTTCCTTTATCCATGTCCATCCTAGAGCTCCTCTCTGACCTTCATGCTTATTTAGAGCAGCTGATTTTTAAAGTTAGCAGAGTTCATCCTTGGTAGTGGGTTCACTCACTCATTTAACCCTTCACCACTGAAATCAGTTTGTTCATTCCAATCCTCCTAAATAATCCTCCAATCATCCAAATGGAATCCTTAAGGGTCCCGTAACGTCCATCCTGTCAGAATAGGCCTTGGGAGCCCAGGTGTTACTAGAACTAATGGTGTCTCCTCACCAGCGTGAGCCTCCAAACTGTGAAGGTTGGTCTCCAAACATGAACTTTAAATTCATGCATTTATCTCCTCTTGTAGCACTTTAACATGTTTTAAAAGGATAAGTTACCCCCCCCCCCCCCCCCCCCCCCGACCAAAGATAAGATAAACTAGAAAAATTTGCATTTATTGCACAAATGCTGTTTGAATGCTGGATAGCTGAAACTGTAAGCTGAAGCTGCTGAACTAGCTGAAACTAAGCAAAACTGTCAAAATGAGCTGAATGTATTGAAAGATGTTGAAGCAAAAAGTAAGTGAACAATGGAGAAAAATCATCCTAAATAGCAAAAAACTGAAATCTGTGAACATTGTATAAAAACTGGACAGCTAAAATGTCTAAACACCTGTTATTTCAGTAGGACTATTTTAACAGTTTAATTTTTACATTTACCTGAAATGTGAAATTAGCATCATATGCTGAATTCAGAAACTAATTGCTGAAGCTGCTGAATAGCTCAAGTGAAGCTGAACTAAGCAAAACTGTTAAAATGAGCTGAATGTTTTGAAAGATTTAGAAGCAAAAAGCACCAAAATGTAAATAAAACACAAAAAGTGAAGAACGGAGAAAACAATCCTAAACAGCAGAAAACTGAAATCTGAACATTATTTAAAAATCTGGACAGCAAAAACGTCTAAACACTTGTTGTTTGAGTAGGACTAGTTTAACAGTTTAATTTTTATATTTAGTTGAACTGTGAAATGAGCAGCATAAGCCAAATTCAGAAACGGATTGCTGAATAGCTGAAGTGAAGCTGAAACTAAGCTAAACTGTCAAAATGAGCTGAATGAATTTAAAGATTTAGAAGCAAAAATCACCAACAAGTGTAATAAAGCTCAGAATATAGGTGAAGAATGGACAAAAATGCCAAACAGCAGAACACTTTAATCTTTGAACATTGATTAAAAACTCAAAATTTGAAATGTTAAACAGCTGGCATTTGAATGAGAATAGTTTAACGGGTACATTTTTACATTTGGCTGAACTGTGAATTTAGAAATATCTGCTGATATCTGAAACTGATAGATTAATATTAGGGGTGGGCCGTTATCAGCGTGCTGCGGCAAAGCCAGACTCTTATCGCGCGATAAAAAAAAATGACGCCGTTAATATATTGTAGTGACCCCGGGCGTCTCAGCGGCAGTCCCCAACTCAACCAGCAGGAGGCAGTAGTGGTTCTCACACCAGACCTTTATTAGGCTTGTTCTTCAACCCTTTGTAACACTACAGACACAGAACTTCTATCACGCTCCTACCACACAGAGTCACGGTGTCAGTTATCCATGCTAATTCAACCCGCTCCACAGAACACACATCACCTTCCCTGTGGCTTACATTAACATAACACTCAAATCAACACATAGAAACTAGCAGAGGGATAGGAAACCAAGCCCCCACAATGCCGCTCTAAAAATGGTCCCATCCCGGAAGTAAGAAAAATTGCAGTTCCACCCTCATCCGCTGGGGGCTTGTGCCAGAAGCGAGCAAATCCTCATTGACTCCCATGTTAAAAATGCCGATTTCACAGCAGAAATAAACATGTTTACAGCCTGGTACCAAAACATGTTTTTTGTCTAAATTATCTAGTTTATACTCATGACAACTCTGAGGGGGGTGAATTTTTTTCTCACTCTTCTGTTTAAGTGTATTGAAAGCCTAAAATTCTGTATAATTAATGAGCATCCGACACACGTGACCGCCGCCTCAGACCCACGTGACCACAGAGCTAGCTCCGTTGAAAGGCCTCAGTAGAGCCTCGGTCTGGCTTGGAAACTGCTCCGGCATTTTGAGTCTCTGTGTTTGTGTATTCTTCTTTGGATATTATTGGTGCAATTGTTGGACAAAATGACTTGCAGTGGTATTAATTGCACTAATAGAGCGTCCAAGGAGTCCCCACTTCATTTTTTTCGGTAAGTTAAAATCTATATTCGTATTTTTTGTCACTGCCACCTTTAAACTAGCTGAGTTTACCGAAGTAGCTAGCTAACTATCAGTTTAACATGTAGCATGTACTGTTTAACCATGAAATTTAAATGTAAAATACGGTAAAATAATTAATAGGGCATATTTCGATGGGTAAAACCCAGTGCATTTAAGATAAAAAAGGGTTGAAATATGACGGAGCGCTAAGAGGAAGACTTCTGTGTCCATTCTTCCATCCGGTAATCCCCAGCGGTCAGGCCGGGCAGCCTGACCGATCCGGCGCCTACTTGCTGCGCCTAGCTGCTGCGCGGTCTGACCACTCGTGGAGTTTTTCATGTCTGACTTTAACCGCATCTAATACTGTATTACGGCGTGAGCGCAACAGCGACAACTTAATATCGATGTGTAAGCAGCCTGAGTGGTAGGGTGTTTTCATCTGAACCCTTAAAACCTCGAGCAGGCTATGCTGCACTATTGACGTGTTAGCGCGCAGCGCTAACAACTTAGCGACGTGACATGTCTCTGAGAAAGCGTAAAACACGGACGCTTCTTCTGAAGCGGAAAATAACACTTCTTCTTAAGCAGAGCAGGATGTCGCCTCGGCTCGTTCACGGCCGAGCCGGACTGAGCTCGATAACATTGACCAAGCACAGCCACTGGGTCGTTGTAGCTGCCACCAGGCCTGCTGAAGGAACACCAGCAGGTTTCATCAGACTCGTAAAGTTTCTTGTTTTTGCTGGGGATTTCTGTATTTTACCGCTCCCTCCTGCAGTCTTCCCCTATTAAAATTTAAAATGTGTAACTTTATGTATTGTGATGAATGACTAATATTCATGTAAAACTAAAACGTTAGGCATTTAGGGGGAAAAAACAAAATAATAAACATTATACAGATGTCAAATAAATCAAACTGTAATTAAACTATATATTTTCAAAGTCATATAGACAGCATGATGGTTTGTGTGATCCGCGCGGTTTCACTTACACCCCTTTAATGATCAGGCTGTTTTTTATTATTTTTATCAGCTGATAGCAGTTAAAATTATGGTAAAAAATACTTTTATCTGTTTTTGATAACTTAATGCCCAGGAAGAGCATCTTCCTGGGCATTAAATATAACCCAAATGTGTTATTATGAGCAGATCTGATGAAGGTGTAGACAAGCAGTCTTCGTCTTCTTCGTCTTCCTCCGCTTATCCGGGTCCGGGTCGCGGGGGCAGCATCCCAATTAGGGAGCTCCAGGCCGTCCTCTCCCCGGCCTTGTCCACCAGCTCCTCCGGCAAGACCCCAAGGCGTTCCCGGACCAGATTGGAGATGTAACCTCTCCAACGTGTCCTGGGTCGACCCGGGGGCCTTCTGCCAGCAGGACATGCCCGAAACACCTCCCCGGGGAGGCATCCAGGAGGCATCCTGACCAGATGCCCAAACCACCTCAACTGGCTCCTTTCGATCCGGAGGAGCAGCGGTTCTACTCCGAGTCCCTCCCGAATGTCCGAGCTCCTCACCCTATCTCTAAGGCTGAGCCCGGCCACCCTACGGAGGAAACTCATTTCGGCCGCTTGTATCCGCGATCTCGTTCTTTCGGTCATTACCCAAAGCTCATGACCATAGGTGAGGATTGGGACGTAGATCGACCGGTAAATCGAGAGCCTGGCTTTCTGGCTCAGCTCCCTCTTCCCCACGACAGATCGGCTCAGCGTCCGCATCACTGCAGATGCCGTACCAATCCGCCTGTCGATCTCCCGATCCCTCCTACCCTCACTCGTGAACAAGACCCCGAGATACTTAAACTCCTCCACTTGAGGTAGGACCTCTCCCCCGACCCGGAGGTGGCAAGCCACCCTTTTCCGGTCGAGAACCATGGTCTCAGATTTGGAGGTGCTGATCCTCATCCCAGCCGCTTCACATTCGGCCGCGAACCTACCCAGCAAGAGCTGAAGGTCAGAGCTGGATGAAGCTAGGAGGACCACATCATGCGCAAAAAGCAGAGACGAGATTCTCCTGCCACCAAACTCGACACACTCCACACCACGGCTGCGTCTAGAAATTCTGTCCATAAAAGTGATGAACAGAACCGGTGACAAAGGGCAGCCCTGGCGGAGTCCAACCCTCACTGGGAACAGGTCCGACTTACTACCGGCTATGCGGACCAAACTCACGCTCCTCTGGTAAAGGGACTGAATGGCCCTTAACAGAAAGCCACCCACCCCATACTCCTGGAGCGTCCCCCACAGGGTGCCCCTGGGGACACGGTCATAAGCCTTCTCCAAATCCACAAAGCACATGTGGATTGGTTGGGCAAACTCCCATGCCCCCTCCATCACCCTTGCAAGGGTATAGAGCTGGTCCGCAGTTCCATGGCAAGGACGAAAACCACATTGCTCCTCCTCTATCTGAGATTCAACTATCGATCAGACCCTCCTCTCCAGTACCTTGGCGTAGACCTTTCCAGGGAGGCTGAGGAGTGTGATCCCCCTATAGTTGGAACACACCCTCAGGTCACCCTTCTTAAAGATGGGGACCACCACCCCGGTCTGCCACTCCCTAGGAACTGCCCCCGATGACCACGCAATGTTGTAGAGACGTGTCAACCATGACAGCCCTACAACATCCATAGCCTTGAGATACCCAGGACGAACCTCATCCGCCCCCGGGGCTCCGCCGCTGTGTAGTTGTTTGACTACCTCAGCAACTTCTGCCCCCGAGATCGGACAGTCCATCCCCAGGCCTCCCAGCTCTGGTTCCTCCTCGGAATGCGCATTGGTGGGATTGAGGAGCTCCTCAAAGTATTCCTTCCACCGTCCGACTATAGCCTCAGTTGACGTCAGCAGCTCCCCATCCCCACTGTAAACAGTGTGAGCGAGTTGCTGCCTTCCTCTCCTGAGGCGCCGGACAGTTTGCCAGAACCTCTTTGGAGCCGATCGATAGTCTTTCTCCATGGCCTCACCAATCTCCTCCCACGCCCGAGATTTTGCCTCGGCAACTGCCACTGCTGCACCCCGCTTGGCTATCCGGTACCTGTCTGCTGCCTCCGGAGACCCACAGACCAGCCACGCCCTGTAGGCCTCCTTCTTCAGCCTGACGGCTCCCCGAACCTCTGGTGTCCACCAGCGGGTACGGGGGTTGCCACCACGACTGGCATCGGCCACCTTACGACCACAGCTAGCAACAGCCGCCTCGACAATCGCAGAGTGGAACAAGGCCCACTCGGACTCAATGTCCCCCACTGCTCTCGGGATGTGGTCAAAGCTCTGCCGGAGGTGGGAGTTGAAGACCGTCTTGACAGGTTCTTCTGCCAGGCGTTCCCAGCAGACCCTCACTATGCGTTTGGGTCTGCCAGGTCTACGCGGCATGTTCCCTTGCCATCTGATCCAACTCACCACCAGGTGGTGATCAGTTGACAGCTCCGCCCCTCTCTTCACTCGGGCGTCCAAAACATACGGCCGCAGGTCAGATGATACGACTACAAAATCTATCATCGACCTGTGACCTAGGCTGCCCTGGTACCAAGTGTACCGGTGGGCATCCTTATGTTCGAACATGGTGTTCGTTATGGCCAAACTGCGGCTTGCACAGAAGTCCAATAACAAAACACCGCTCGAGTTCAGATCAGGTGGGCCGTTCCTCCCAATCACACCCCTCCAGGTCAAGCTGTCATTGCCCACGTGAGCACTGAAGTCCCCCAGCAGGACAATGGAGTCCCCTCATGGAGCACTATCTAGCACTCGTCCCAGGGACTCCAAAAAGGGTGGGTACTCTGAACTGATATTTGGCCCATAAGCACAAACAACAGTCAGGACCCGTTCCCCGACCCGAAGGCGCAAGGAAGCTACCCTCTTGTCCCCCGGGGTAAACCCCAACACACAGGCAGAGAGTCTCGGGGCTAACAAAAAGCCAACCCCAGCCCTCCGCCTCTCACCCGGAGCAACTCCAGCAAAGTAGAGTGTCCAACCCCTCTCCAGGTCTCGGGTTCCAGAGCCAATGCAATGTGTCGAGGTGAGTCCGACTATATCTAGCCGGTACCGCTCAACCTCTGCCACAAGCTCCGGCTCCTTCCCCGCCAGCGAGGTGACGTTCCATGTCCCAAAAACTAGTTTTCTTGCGGATGGACTCCCACATTAGCCAGGTGGTTAGATCCTGCTTTTCCCGGCTTCGCCAGCTACCAAAGATGAAGTCCATCCTGAAAGACGTGTCATATTTTCTCCCCAACTCCTCCTTGAACCGTCACCTTATCGTGGTGGAGGAGTTTGAGTGCCCTAATGATCCTAGGAGCTATGTTGTCTGGGGCACTTAGTGCCCCTGGTAGGGTCTCCCATGACAAATTGGTCTTAGGTGAAGGGTGAGACAAAGAACGGTTCGAAGGATCTTTCATGGCGGTTAAAACGAAGAGTCGGAGTACCCGGCTCGGAGGGTTACCGGGGTCCCACCCTGGAGCCAGGCCTGGGGTTGGGGCCCGTGAGCGAGCGCCTGGTGGCCGGGCTTTCGCCCATGGGGCCCGGCCGGGCCCAGCCCGAACCGGATACATGGGCTCGTCCAACTGTGGACCCACCACCCGCAGGAGGAACATGAAGGGTCCGGTGCAATGCGAATCGGGTGGCAGACCAAGGCGGGAGCCTTGGCGGTCCAATCCCCGGACAAGAAAACTAGTTTTAGACAAGCAGTCTGCAAAGTAAAACTTGTTTAGAGTCCAAACTCTTACTAAAGCTTTTGAAAAGAAAAAATGGTTGAATTTTGAGAAATATCCACAACAGGGGAGCGAGACCTCTGAAAAATGTATATTTTCTCTGAATTCATAGAATAATGTGAAGATTCTGGGAAAAGTTGGGATTCTGAGATTAAAACTTAAATCTTTCTTATCATAATTCTGGCAGTTTTTGTGTCCTTCTGCTGTGGAAAGTCGTGCAACATGAAGATACTGAGAAGATGCTTACAACCTGTGTTTTTATTCCATCCATAAATAAAATCATGAGCTATTTTTTTTAATCCAAATTTGATCCAACGGGCCATCGTTGGTTCCAGACCCGTTCTAGAACATTCCTCTAATCTTAAAGTCATCATCAGTTTCTTCCTTTTAACAAATATTTATTTGTTCAAATATTTAATATTTATAACTGGGATATTTGTTCCTCCCTCTCCCACTGCAGTTAGTCCTGTCCTGCAACCCTGTTTTTGCAGCTTAGTGAAGCCAACCATCACTAACCTGGGGGTGGTTTTGGACCCAGAGATGCGGATGGACTCCCACATTAGCCAGGTGGTTAGATCCTGCTTTTCCCGGCTTCGCCAGCTACCAAAGATGAAGTCCATCCTGAAAGACGTGTCATATTTTCTCCCCAAGCTGGACCTGACCGTCATGTATCGGTCCAAAATAGTGTGATGATATTGTGTTTTTTGTACATAACAGACTTTTTAACAGACAAATTTGTCGCATTCTCCTACACCTCTTCACGGGCTCGCCACAGTAAATATTCTATTTGGCGAGAGATAAACTTTATTGTATTTATCCTAGTGAATCTATAATTAAACGGGTAAACTAGTAGCACCACATCCAACGTCAAAGAGAGTAAAAAGTTATTATCAGGAGAGGGAGAATGTTTAAGTGGTTAGCAGCAGTGTGCTAGATGATGGCCCCCTCCATGAGGCCACCACAGCTCAGCAGAACGTCATTGTAGCTTCTTCTGGGGAGAAAAACACTTAGAGAAAAAATAAAGTTAACAGCTGAAATAGCAGGAAATAATACAGTTAAAGAGCAGATTGTAGAAGAAAGAAACCCCTGGGTTAAACTGGTCTGTCTACTGCATAATGCTGAACTCTAACATGTGTCCTCAGGGAAGGACCTGATTGGTGTCCAGAACCTGCTGAAGAAGCACCAGGCTCTGCAGGCTGAGATCACAGGTCATGAACCTCGCATCAAGGCTGTCACCCAGAAAGGAGAGACCATGGTGGAAGAAGGTAGAGCAGGTCTGGTCCTGACATGTTTCTGAGGTGTCTGCAGGTTCTGGCTCACTTTTTTTGGGTCCAGGTCACTTCGCTGGTGAGGAAGTGAAGACTAAACTGTGGGAGCTTCATGGACGTTGGGACACGCTGAAGGCCAAGGCGTCCCAGAGGAGGCAGGACCTGGAGGACTCTCTGCAGGCCCAGCAGTACTTTGCGGATGCTAATGAGGCCGAGTCCTGGATGAGGGAGAAGGAGCCCATCGTTGGAAGTCCAGACTAAGGGAAAGACGAGGACTTGGCCGAGGTATGGAAGTCCCTTCCTGAGAAACTCCAATCGCTTTTCTTTACTCTCTTTCCAGTCCTTCATAATTAGTGTTTCTGTATTTGTCATTTCCTTCGGTTGTCTACCAGACGTCGTTGCTCGTTTGAGCGTCGCATGGGTTAGGGGTAGAAGTGCTGGCCTCGCACAGGAAGTGATGACAAACGTGTTCCCGTCGCTCTTATTTCAAACGGTTTACAAGCTGTGATGTGTGTTCCCGCTGCAGAGCAGCCATGAAACGTGGCAGCCGGCAGAAGGCTCACGCTTTTCCACTAAACACCCGCAGAGCTGCGTCTGCGGTGAACTGAGCAGGGTTTGTTTTACGGTGGCGGATCCGATTGGACCATCGCTGCGAGAAAGCTCCACTTGTGTCAGACGAGCTGAAGGTTCTGATGTTCTGCTCCACAGGCTCTCCTGAAGAAGCACGAGGCCCTGATGTCGGACCTGTCGGCTTACGGCAGCAGCATCCAGGCCCTGAAGGAGCAGGCCCAGTCCTGCAGGGTGAGTTCAGAACCCTCGGCCCGTCAGAACATTCTTATCCACCACGTTCTAACACCAGACCTGTTAACCCGACAGCAACAAGGTAATCAGCAGGTGCTTTTGTCCTGCAGGACCTGAAGGCCAACGAGTCCCGCCTGAGGGACATCAACAAGGTGGCATCTGAACTGGAGTCAGAAGGTCTGATGGCTGAGGAGGCTCCTATGGTTCAGGCTCAGGTGAGCGTCACCTGTCTGCAGCAGCTGGTCCCTCTCACTTCCTGGTTTAACTCTGCTCGTCTCTGTTTGTAGCAACAAGAACATCTGGGTTCTGCTCCTGGAAAGGTGCGTGTTGTCCTCCGCCTCCACCAGAACCAGACGTGGTGTTTATGTTACCACTCATTTGTTTGTTTGTTTGTTTACAGGATGAAGCCGACTCTAACACGGCGTCACCCTGGAAGGTGAGTTCATTCAGCTGATCAGAGGTCACCTCTGATGGCCGCAGTCACGGCCGACCGTGCTGACATCACACAGGAATTCAGGTGACCCGGCAGGCACCAGGTGCTGGTGAAAGTGGGGACATGTCAGCTGGTTGCCATGGCTACAGTTATCTTTATGCATCTGTATGACTGCTGACTGGTGTGTGTTTCCTGTGACCTTTGACCTCAGACCGTACGGTTGGGCGTTCAGACGACGGCTAACTTTAATTCCATCAAGGTAAGAGGAAGCTCTTCCCTTCCTGTCTGAGCGATCCGTCTCCAGGTTTCTTCGTCCGGCGTCCAGCCCGCTGGCGTCCACCTTCATCTCACCTTCATCTCATCTCACTTCATTTATAGTGCAGTACTTTCACATTATCATTTTCCCACACTTCTGTATACCTGTATTTTGTTGTTTTTCAATAAAGAATGACAAATTATTTAAGTTTGGTTTTTGTTGCACACAAATATATATCTGTAAAAAATATCTATAAAGCTAATGTTTACATAACAAGTATGATTGGGTTTTGCAATACGGCACTCAAGTTTATTTTAGTAAGATTTTAAAACCAAGTAAAGTTAGTAAAGAACACATTTCTATTGTCTGCTAAGAAACTGTTGGGATTTAAAATGGGCCTGTTGTACAAATAACTTGTAAATGATTATTCCTCACTTTTGTCTTAACCAAAGAAATTCCAGTAATTGAGCAAAAACATTTATTTTTAACACTACATTTTATAAAACAGGGCACAAAGTGTCGGCACATGTATGTATGTCGATGGTCCACCCCAACCGAACCAGGAGACACAGACGTCAGGGAGGCCAAGGTTGTCTCTGCAGCTCTCTGGGCACCACGCCTCACTCAGCTGTCTCCAATGATCCAAATGGCTATGGAGAAAAAATAACAGGTTTGGTCTAGCTGTTTAAAGTACAAAACCATTCATGAAGTGGTCAAGACAAGTACTTGGTACTTACACTTGCTGCGTTGTGTAGCTGACGTTGACACACAGGCTGCCATGGTGACCTTTTAACAGATCTAAGAAAAAAATGTAATAAAAGAATGAAACTTAAAAACTCCCAGACCTCATGTCACATTTACTAATCAGCTATGGCTGATTTGTTTTTTTATCACAGTGAGTTACACTAATTCTAATATATTTTTATTTCTATTATACATACATACTTTTTAACTGTTATTTTCACATGACTGTTATCAGGCTCTCTTGTTCTGGTTCTCATGATAACTCTGTGTCTTCCAGTAAGTTATCTTGTGCTTACTTCATCTGTATAATGTCTCTTTACTTTTGGTAAATTGTACTGAGTCCAGAATAAAGGCTAGTTGGCTCTACAAGATACAAACAAGTATTACGTTTTTGAAATATATGAAACACCGCCAGCATCTGTTAGAGCCTGTGGCGGGGTGCTGAGGGCCGGCTCCAGCCCAGGAATGAGCTCTCCTCGCCGGCCGGGAGGGTTTGAAACACCGCCATCCTCTCCTCTGCTGGCTGTTCATTCTGTTATGGTTACCGGTGCTTGTGTTGCAATGTGAAACGCTTGGTCTCAGATTTTGTAAGAAAGATAATAAAATGTCCCCCAAAATACGACTTAAATATATTTTCTCTTCTTCATGATACATTTAATGGCTGGTGCGACTCAGGAGTGATAGCGCCGAAAAAAACGGTACTGAAAACTTGCTCAAAGCAAAATGTATTCATTACGGAAATAAATTATAAACTTACCGATTTAAAACTTTTTAAATACAGGTACTTCTCACGAACAGGCGCAGAAAACCTCCACCTAAACTCCGTGTTAGGTTCAGGTCGATGGGTGTTCCAGTTAGCTCCGGTTGGGTTGAAGCTAGGTGGCTACATCCGTTAGCTCGGCTCCCACCTCCGCTTTAGCTTTGGGTTAGCCAGGGTTAGCTTCAGGTTAGCTCGTAGCTAGTTCGCCTGGGTGTCGTCACTCGAGCCCAGCCTTACAGCCACACCCTCAGCACCTCCTCTCTTCCCTTTTATGGAATTGTCTGGGCTGGACGGAACCTGTGACACGGTCAAAATGGCGGTGGTGGCCACCTCCCATTATAGACAACAAACGTGTTATTGAAGCCATTGGAATCCGTTTGTCCAGTATGTACAGTCTATGTAGGAAACACATATAACACAATACCCAGAATGCACCTGGCTTACAACCCCAGCCAGGTCATTACACTATTCTCAAAGTTGGGTTGGGATCTGGGTCGTCTATACTAAGCTTGATGACTATCACATTGCGCGGATGGATACCTGGTTGGCGCGGATGTATACTCGGCGCGGATCATAGACATATAACGCACGGATGTCTACGTGCGAAAGAGAACATCTTTAACGCCAGAGGAATCTTCAAACGTGACGCTCTGAAGAATGCTACTGACTGTAAATAGTTAATCATGGCCTATTCTGTAGACCTACAGTGCAGAATTTGTTGAACTGAATAAACAGCTATTAAACACAAACACTTATTGATCATTATTTATTTTCATCATGAGTTATCGTAGTAAAACTGCTTTATCAGTCTGTGATGCATTTTTGAAACAAGAAATACGGCTCCATTCTCAAAGACTTGCCTTTATTCATTATCTAGGTAGCACACAAATATGTCTTTGGCAGAATTTGAATGAGCCATTTTAATCTAGATTAATTCCAAGATTACAGTGAGATTAATCTAGATTTAAAAAATTAATCTATGCCCACCACTAATTAATATATGATCAGACTTGATATGGGATGGATGAATGGTTGGATGAATGAAATAACGGATGGATTGTTGGATGGCTGTTAGATGGTTTATTGGATGGATGGATGGATGGATGGATGGATTAACAGAAGCGTGTATGGATTATATGTGGATGGATGATTCCTTAGGCCAAGCGATCGATTTGATGTCTCACATGTGTGGGTGTGTAATTCCATTTAGCCAGAAGATGATTGACCTCTCTCAACCAATCAGGGAGCGGGGCACTTTCCCACCTTCTGACAGTCAATCAAATTTAACTTGTTTCTAGTTTTAAGTACAAACAGTTCAAAAAGATCAAAAACAGGAGTCTGTTATTGGCTCAATATTCAGCTTTTTATATTCATTCCTGTGAGACTTGGTTGAAGTGATTTGTAGTTCCCATCGACATATAAATATTGGACAATGGGTTTCCACAGACTCCAAAAACATGTTTTTGTGCCAAAATGGGAGGTGGCCACCACCGCCATTTTGACCGTGTCACAGGTTCTGTCAAGCCCACACAATTCCACAAAAGGGAAGAGAGGTGGAGCTAAGGGTGGGGCTTGAAGGCTGGGATCAACTGACGACACCCGGTCGAACTAGCTACAAGCTAACCTGAAGCTAACCCAAAGCTAATATGGAGGTGGGAGCTAAGCTAACGGAGGTAGCAACCTAGCTACAACCAGAGTTAACTGTGCACAACAGCAGATTTTCTGAGTCAGAGATGCGCGGGGCTGACCGCTGGGTAAAACCAGGTGGAACACAGAGGTCTCCCGAAAGCTGCTGAAAGCCGGCAGCCCACGCAGCAGACAGAAGCCGCGATCAGACAGAGATGCGCAGAGCTGCGGGGAGGGGAGAACCACAAGCCGGCAGCCCGCGCAGCAGACAGAAGCCGCGATCAGACAGAGATGCACCGAGCTGCAGGGAGGGGAGAACCACAAGCCGGCCGGCAGCCCGCGCAGCAGACAGAAGCCACGATCAGAGATGCGCCGAGCTGCGGGGAAGAGAGAAACGGGTGGAAAACATCGGTCTCCCGAGAGCTCCACAAGCCGATAGTCAGAACTCAGCTCCACCAACATGTTATATTTCAACCCATTTTCTAAAGTGCAGCATTGTGTTAAATGCAGTGGTGGGCAGTCAGGGCCAGCAAAGCCTTCTCTGCTGGCCTAAACTTACTCAAAAACATTAGTGTATTTTTTTTCCTTTGGTAAATATTTTTTCAATAAAAATATGTTCACTGGTCAATTTTCTTTTTATCCTATTATACCCACTTGGTTGCGCTGCTTCCAGTGTTGAAATACCAAGGCTGGGTGTTATCCAATCAGATTTAAGCTAGCTTGTGTTTTCAGGCAGATTAAGTCTGCTCTAGGCCTTCAGAATCAATCGAGAAGCCCACTGTCCGCTGTAAGTGAACAGAGACGAGCCAGTTGCGATAGCCAATCAGCTCACGAGTCAGCTTGGCCCGGGCCAGCTAGCTGGCCTCACGCAAAAGTTGACATGAACGCATCCTGTGATTGGATGAGCAGTAGTTTGAACTTTTCTAGCGGCATTAAGCAAAAATATCAAAACTAAACACAGAGATTTGTATCTACAGGCAGCTATCGGTGTATTTTTGAACACATGATAGCTGAAAGAGGAGAAGAGACGGACTTGGTGGCAGATTTACTTGCCACACCATTTTCAAGACGGACCTTTCAAGAAAAAATGGATATTGTGAGAACAGGTCGTCTGACTCCAATGCTAGCTGGCTTGTCCCAGCAGGGGAAAGAATTTTTTCGTCATTTTCAGGCAAGCAACTATGAACGGTACCCATGGCTAACAGCTTCAGAGAACCGCTGCAGGTTATTCTGCTGGGAACGCCTGTTGGTCGCATCAGATCGATTTGGTATTTGGAGTTTTACTGGATTTGCCAGTTTAAGTTGTTTCACCAAGGCAGCAAAGAGACACCAAAGCACGGCTGACCACTTACAAGCTACGGTGCTTTTAGAAACCTTTGGGGACACCCGAGTGGATCTGCAGCTCAGTGAACAGGCGCGCAGGGACACGGAGCTCCACAACGAAAAGGTGAAGAACACTAGGGAGATATTGAAAAGGCTGATGGATTGTGTCATGTTTTTGGGTAAACAGGGACTTTCCTTTAGGGGACATGATGAAAACCCCCAGTCATTAAATAGAGGTGCAGATTCTATCTTTTCTTGCTGAACATGACGCCGACTTGCATTACCACCGGACCACCAACAGGGTCTTTACTGGGACATCCGGCAGAATACAAAATGACCTCATTCATGCTGTTGCTGAAGTGATGGGAGATGAGATCAGAATGGAGATCAGAAGAGCCCCTTTTGTCGCCGTCATGGTTGATGAAACCACAGACGTGGGTAACGTGGCACAGCTGGCACTCGTCCTGCGCTACGTGACAGCCACAGGTGTCCAGGAGCGTTTTGTCAAATTTGTGGATGTAACGAGTGGCAGGCGAGCTGATGACCTTGCCGCGCTTATTTTCCGTATTCTTGAGGAATATGAATGCTGTTTGGACAAAGTTGTTGCACAGTGTTACGATGGTGCAGCGGCGATGGCATCTGGACTAAACGGGGTGCAGGCTACAGTTAAGGAAAAGGCTCCTATGGCCTTATTCATTCACTGGTATGCACATCGTCTTAATTTAGTGCTGACTCAAGGGGCCTCAAAGCTTAAAGAGTGCAAGGTCTTTGTTGCCAATCTGAATGGCCTCGCTGCGTTTTTCTCCAGATCCCCGAAGCGCACACAGTTGCTGGATGATGTGTGCAAACGGCGTCTTCCTCGTGTCGCGCCAACACGGTGGCAATATTCATCAAGACTGGTGAATGCAGTCTTTGAGAAGGGAGTTGCTCTAAAGGAGATGTTTGGTCACATACTGGACCACCACGACGAGTATGATGAGGACACCGTGCTTTCTGCGGATGGATTTAACGCACGGCTGGACGATTTTGAGTTTTGTTTCTTGATCAAACACAGTCAACGGGCTTTTTGAGTGTGCTGCTGTGCTTTTTGGAACAGACCAAATCATTGGATGTGCAATTCTGCACGGCCAGGCTGAACGAGTTCTGTGACAAAGTTGAGCAAGAGAGGGGCAACTCCAGTGAGATATATGAAGAAGCAATGCGCGCCTCCGGTGGTCCAAGTGTGCGCAGAGGCCAACGCACGGCGCAAGGCGATCTCCGTGAAATTTACCAAAAACTCCACAACAGCATTCTGGACAGCATTCTTTCCCAGACAAGGAATCGATTTCAGGACCATGTTGATGTTTCTCTCCCTTCTTGACCCCCAGCACTTTCAGACATACAGAAAAAATTCCCGACAGCAGCCTTCTCCAGCTTAACACAGAGCTACGGACCACTGTTGGGTCTTCCCCGACTTAAAACAGAACTGACTGTAATGTATGCTATGGCTGATTTTGAAGGGAAAAGTCCCGCTGATCTACACGATGTTCTTCTCAGCAAAGACCTGAGTGAGAGTATGGGACAACTTTACGCCCTAGCCTGTTCGGCTGTGACTATCCCGGTGTCCACTGCCTCTGTTGAGCGCTCATTGTCAGCATTAAAGCGCGTAAAAACGTACGCCAGAAACACGACCGGACAGACACGGCTTTCAGCATTAGCCTCCATGTCCATAAAAGGCTCTACTCATGGACCTGAAGCGCACAGATCAACTGTATGACAGAGCCATGGAGGTTTTCCTGAGGAAAGAAAGAAGGATGGATTTTATTTTCTAATGAGCAGGAGAGGAGGAGATCCATGCTGGACATTTATGTTGGTGAGTAGAAACATTTATTAGTATTGTTTTAATGTTTTGTCATTTTATTTCGTTAATAATCAAGAAATGGTAACGAAATAAAATGGCTAAATGAAATTATTCTGTTTCTATGCCATTAATGTTGTGTACAACGTGGTGTGTAAAGCTGCGCCAACATTGTTTCGCGGTGCCATTTTCTCCTAAACAAATGCAAATAATGTGTTTGCTTTACTTATTTATTTTATTGTCTCATCTCTTAAATCCATCTTTCATTTTTGAGATTTGACAGTATCCGTGGTCTTGCTTCCTACCCTCAATTGGGAATGCGAGTTTGATTTCAAAGGCTCCGGAAATTACATGTCTTGACCAGCCACTGGTGTGTGTGTGTGTGTGTGTGTGTGTGTGTGTGTGTGAGAGAGAGAGAGAGAGAGAGAGAGAGAGAGAGAGAGAGAGAGAGAGAGAGTGAAAGAGAGAGGTTTCTCCAGCTGTGATGTCATATTGATGGTATTTTAAGGTGTATTAATTTAGATTGGATTGAATAGGAAATCACCGAAGGCGCAGGGGTGGGATGCACCGCCCTCCACTGGTTAAATGCATTGGGTTTTACCCTATTACATTTAAATTTCATGGTTAATCAGTACATGTTAAAATCTAAGCTCAGCTCGGCAGTGACCTAAAATACATAAATGTAATTTTACTTACCAAAAAAAATGAAGTGGAGACTCCTTGGACGCTCTATTAGTGCAATTAATGCCACAGCAAGTCATTTTGTCCAACAATTGCACAAATAATATCCAAAAAAAGAATACACAAACACAGAGACTCACAATCCCGGAACAGTTTCCAAGCCAGACCGAGGCTCTACTCACGTGGGTCTGATGCTCATTAATTTTACAGAATTTTAGGCTTTTAATACACTTAAACAGAAGAGTGAGAAAAAAATTCACCCCCCTCAGAGTTGTCATGAGTGTAAACTAGATCATTTAAACCAAAAACATGTTTTGGTACCAGGCTGTAAACATGTTTATATCTGCTGTGAAATTGGTATTTTTAACATGGGAGTCAATTAGGATTTGCTCTCTTCTGACACCAGCCCCTAGTGGATGAGGGTGGAACTGCAATTTTTGGTACTTCCGGGTTGGCCTCGATTTTTGAGCCGCATTGTGGGGGCTTGGTAGTTCCTTGTGTTGCCTTGGTAACAATGACAGGAGTCTGCATTAATAAAGCAATGTACAATGTCACATGACTCTTTTAAACTTTGAATAACATTTCTATATTAAAGTATGTTGATACAGTTGTGTCTAAAATGTTGTTAAATGTTGTTGCTAAGCACGTTGCAATGGTAACGCAGAATACAATATCAAAATAATACAAGACTCCTGGGACCAAGCAGGTTGAATTGATGTATCATATGTGTGGGTGCATATTTCCTTTTAGGCAGAAGACGATTGAAAACTCTCAGCCAATGAGAGAGCAGCAAAGGAGGAGGGGGCGGTTCCTGCCTTTTGACTAGTGTTAAAATGTCAGCTATGCTGCTAGTTTTAAGTGTATAGAGCTCAGAAAGATAAGAAACAGCAGTATGTTATAGGCTCAATATTAAGCTTTTCACATTCTTTTCAGTAACACTTGTTTGGGGATATACTTATGCACTTGTGTTGCCATGGTAACAGATAACGCATTTAAAATTGAATGCAAGATTCCTGAGACCAAGCTGGTTGATTTGATGTGTTATTTGTGTGGGTGCTGGATCCTGCTTGGACAGAAAATGGTTGAACACTCTCAACCAATCAGAGAGCAGCACTGTTTTCCCGCCTTTTCCCTTGGCTGTTGGAGGCCTGCAGCTGTACTCCTGTTAATGAGAGAAGCCGCTAAATCTGTCCTTCAGAAGTGAAATTGGACCTGTCAAACTTCTCATCACCATTCGAAAAGTACTGCACCGATTTGAAAAATTCAAAAAGCGTGAGCGGCAGAAGGCTTTGATGGTCATCTGTGTGATTTTTTATGTGCCATTTACGTTTTGATATAAAATTGTTGAAATAGTTAAAATTTTGAAGGAGTTGAAAAGGTTCAAAAAGTGTCCGGAAGCAGAATAAGAAGAAGAAGAAAGATAAACAGGAAAACAATAGTTTGAGTGCTTAACAGCATTCAAACAAACATTATCATAAACATTATTGAGACGTCATTTATGAAATACAAGTTATTTTTGTTCACCATTACTTCAACCAAATAATAAGATGCATGGATTTGAGGAACCACACTGTCTCATGCAGTCCTACATGTGTAACACACACACACACTCAAACACACACTCAAACACACACACACACACTCAAACACACACATACTGGTTTTTGTGGTATAGCCAGACATTTCTCTCAAACAGGCCCGGTGGTGGTTTACATGGACCACCCTTTCCGAAGGTCCTAGACCAATGGGATGAAGATAAAACCACTGCAAAAAATCTGAAAAAAATTTAGCTCACTTTAGGTCTTAAATATGACCTACACAACATTTTTTACAGCACCCTGACACTGTTGTGGTTAGTATGGACTTTCTGTTTTGTGGTTTTTAAGGACCAAAATAGAACATTACAAGGACTTTAAAGGGACAATTATGTCACATGTACCGCCCATCTAATTACCATAAACACACAACTGGTTTATGAGAACAAAATAAACATTAAGGGGACTTTAAAGGGACAACTGCATCTCATTTCAAGCCCTTTAAATGGGGATAATTAATCAATCTGACAAACAGAAATCACTGATGACTGTTTATTCATCAGGTAAAAATAGAACATGGTTTAAACCAAATAACAATAATTGAAACAATAATTGCCCTGCCGTATGTCTTAGAAAAAAAAGTAAAGTGCACTCTTTAGAGCATCAGTGTTTACAATCTTTGTAGTGAGCTAATGAAATCTTGTACCACTGAAGAAAGTACAAATGTTGCATTCAGTTTTAACAATCATGAACAAAAAATAAATAAAAAAAATAGGCTAAACAATCTTAGGGAAAAAAATAATGTACACTCTTTGGAGCACCAGGTTTTAGAATCTTTGCATTGAACTAATGAAATTAAATGCTAGCTTAATATTTGTGAACATAATATACCAGCAAGAACCATCTCAATGCAAAAAAAAAAAAAAAAAAAAAACTTCTGTGACTGATTTATTTTTGCTTCAGGGCTTGCCTCTTGGCAGCTATGCCACGGTTTCTCACAAAGTCCCTTATATTTTGCACAGTTCTGTTGGCTAACACAGGGCCCTCAACCAACTTACAATGGCTGCATTCAGTTTTAGAGGCCAGTTTTCCTTTACTTATGTGATTTTTGAAATGTCGCATTACAGCAACAACTTCAGCAGTAGACCAGGGTTTCTTTGGTCCTCTTCTGAGTTCTTGGTTAGAAGATTTTTCTGCAAAACAAAGGTAAAAGGCATTATTGTCATACAATAAGTAATATACTGCCATTACAAACTACCACAGATTTAGACAAAGACAAACTGATGTCTCTGGCAAAATCACTGTAAATAGAGATAAAAGATATAATATATACAAATGTGCGTTAGGGGATACTCCAAAATAAAGTTTAGGGAGGTTTTGCTCAGACTCGTGAAAAGCCAGTTGCAGTAGCCTAATAGGAGATGAAGGTGTGGATAACAATCTCAAGTTCTCCGCTCACATGATTCCAAGATGGAAGCCCCATCTGCATGACAGAAAATAAATTAAATGGACACAGAGGTGGGAAAGGAGGAAATGCTTCTACTTTTTTTGTTGATGAAGTTTCATTGCCGCTGTCATTTCAAGGTTAGGAAAATATGAGTATGGTGCCTGGAAAGAAGGGCCAGGCAAGGAGTTTATACCATTCAACTTTTAAGAGATGCGCCTTGCAATCCCAGAATGCTTCTGACAGTACCGCCGCCTGGATCCTAAATCCTTCAAGAAGGTAGTAGATATGGTGGGGCCATCAATCCAAAAGGTACCGTTTTGTTTATCTTTCTGACATACAGACAGGGAGCTGCATCTGAATACATCTTTTAATCATGTGAGCAGAGAACACGCTTTGATTGGCCACCAGAATATTTCAATTCAGGCGGCATTTCACGTTGTGTGCACAAGGTGAGTTTCTACTCCCTGTGAAGCGAAAATTATCAAACCGGTTTGATTTTCACCTCAGACAAAAAAACTCAAGAGGAAATTAGGCACACACAGCGAGGTATCTGCTAAGCAGTCATTCGACGCCATTTGCTCAGCATTTTGCCCTTGTGTGCAGCAGGTTTAAGGAAAAACGCGTAATTTGGGAAAGCTATGACACACACACACACAGACATGAGCTAAAAAATGATCCCAATATTTCAACAATAAATCCTCCTGGGACTGGTAGAATTTCCATGCTATCCTGGATTGCAAAGAACGGGTCAAACTAATGAGTTACTCCAGCATCAGGAAGATTAATTCTGTTAAGCTATCGGTTAAATATTTTCCAGAGTTAAAAACATAAACATGCAGCGGTAAAACTAGCAGCAAATTAGTTTATTATCTGTCGATTATTGAATTATATTGAGACAGTATCATGGAGCCAAGACCAGCTGAGAGCTTTTCAGCTTAGAGCACCCAATGGAGCACATAAATGAAATGTTTAACAAAAATAAGCAAACTGCACCGAGTTTGGTTCTGAAGACAAACAGACTCATCCCCGGTGTCCAAACCGGGTCACTGATCTTCTGGGTCAAATGTTTCAAAACATGTCTGCACCTCCGGTAGTGATATCCAGCTAGTAGGGTTGGGAGTTCGGTTGAACTTCTCCGGTAATCTAATATCCGTTCTTTTTGCCATATCACAGAGAAATAAATCCGATTGACCAGCAGAGGCTTCTAAAGCTACATCTGACTGATGACACATTGTCCTCTGCTATAACACTAACACAGAAACACCAGACCTGGGGGTTGTTTTCAATAGCCGTTTTTGCAGACCTCCTTGAACATCACCAGTTGCCCCGGGCTTAGACGTTGCTTAGAAACTAGTTTCTGTTGTTGCCACGCTAGTCAAAAACATCAGATTTTAATTCCAGCTGTGAAAATCCAAAAACATTTTTCACCTGAGATTTTAATACTTATTTACACATGCCATTCAAAGGAATTTTGGTTCTGGCCAGTATCTTTAGCTTGGCAATCTTAGCTTGAGAATTCAAGGATGCAGTCAAAAGATGTCTTGAGAAGCTGGACCGCGGGTAAGTTTGACCTGACTTCATATTGCTTTCTCAATTAGTTCCGGGAATCAATTGTTCTATGAAAATGACACACAAACACAGCTGATACAGTCCTATAACATTATAATTGAAGACCTATTGTCCTTCAAGGCCGCTACAAGACTGATTTTGTTAAACAACTTGGGATTTCCTTTGTCCTAGGACACCAGGTTGGAAAAAATAGGTAACCCTCACATCTCTGTCTGCAGAGTTCTAGGAGATCACAAGATTCTTTAGATGTAGCAGATTGTCGCTGAGACTAGTTTTCTTCCACAGGCGCAAAATGTTTCTGCATTGGCACTTCAGGCTGTTATTAAACCAGGAATTAGGGTTTACTGCAGGAACTGATCTGGTTCTGATAGGAGAGAATGTGGTCCAGAATGGAGAGGCAGTGCTTGTTGAAGTGAGTAGTTAAAGAATCTGGGTCATTATCAAATGAACAAGAAAGCGGCAGGTAATTAGCTAGCTGTGCCCTTAAAAATTGAGACAATGTCAGCATTTAGACCCAGGGTAAAAACAAATGGTAAATGGCCTGTATTTAATATAGCGTCTTCTAGTCCTGGAACCCCCCAAGGCGCTATACAACACAATCAGTCATCCCCCCATTCACACACAAATTCACACACTGGTGGGGATGAGTTACGACGTAGCCACAGCTGCCCTGGGGCGCACTAACGGAGGTGAGGCTGCCGTGCACTGGCACCATCGGTCCATCCAACCACCACCAGCAGGCAAGGGAAGGTCAAGTGTCTTGCCCAAGGACACAATGACAGCAACAAACTGAGCAAGCCTCGAACATGCAATCTTCTGATTACAGGGCAAGCACTTAACTCCTGTGCCACCGTCACCCCAAAAACCAAGGTCTGGACAGTGCCCCTTGGTGTGTGTGTGTGTGTGTGTGTGTGTGTGTGTGTGTGTGTGTGAAGCCAGAAACATGCTAGTGAGTCCATGATGCTGGAAAAGCTCCTGGCAAGGTTGTCTGAGGCATCATTAATGTGAATGTTATAATCACCAAGAACCACCAGTCTGGACAGCTTTACAATAGAGGATAGGAAGTCACTAAACTCCTGAAAGAACTGTTTGAACTAGATGGACCATAAACTACAGCACAGTAAAACATGTCATGCCCGATTTTAATTAGCTGCAGTTCAAAGCAAGAAAAGGGGCCTGAGGTTGTGGAGATACAAGAAGAATTATCTCTAAAAACAATAGCTAGGCCTCCACCTTGACCAGAACCACACAGCTGGCCAAGGAAGGAATAAGCACACGGGCAGGGTTCAATCAGAGCCAGAATAATCAAATGTTTGCTGCTAAACCTTAGTCTAATCAGAAAATCCAGGTTTTTAGAGAGAATCTGATCTTTAACCAGGAAGGACTTATTGTTAATGGAGCAGGTATTTAATAAAGTCATGCTGATGTGGAGAAATCAGCATCTACAGATACAGCTGATGTTGAGTGGATGCAAGTTAGAGTTAGATCTACGGTGTTTGTAATATCCACTCCTGTAGGGAACAGGAAGAGAAACCACTGAAGAATTAAGGTAAACAGCCTCTGTCAGTGCGCCCTAGGGCAGGTGTGGCTACATCGTAGCTCATCCCCACCAGTGTGTGAATGTGTGTGTGAATGGGGGATGACTGATTGTGTTGCGAAGCACCTTGGTGGGTTGCAGAACTCCAAGAGGCACTAGACAAATACAGGCCATTTACCACAGACCTTAGAAAACATGGATGGACAAACTGCCACCTTGTTACCTGGCGGGAATGAGTAAGTGGTGCTCAGGTCAACAAACAGAGAAGAGGAAGCTAGAAGATCAGGCAATTTTTTTCTAGGCAACCCACGCTCAAAAAGTCTCATTCTCACATGGATTCCTGCTCGTTTACCCCATTTCCTCCAACATTTCCCCTGGATCAGGCAAACATCTCTGGAAACACTTGGGTTAAAATGAGTGTTTGGCTCAGGGCCAGCAGAGTGCATGTAAGCATAATGGAAGATAGATCCTCTGTGCGTCTTGGGTAATCACAGACGAACGCAAGGATAAAGAGAGTCTGGAGATGATATGACATGGTAGTCGGGACACTACTGAAGAGGATTGCACAGACAGGGTTAGTAGAGAAAAGTTTGAAAATGTGGCTGGTAACTGGCTACTCCAAGCACAAGTGCCATCTCGTTACCGGTCAGGGCACTGATCGGCTATAGCGGGATTGCAGAGTGTAGCCTGTAGGTAATGAGTGAAAAGAGAATTTTGGCAACCCACTGAATTTCACTGTGTAGACCATGGAAAGA